AATGTAATTTTGTAATCCTTTATTTATATGGGATTACAAAGTTATTTATGCAGTTAATGTATCTAGAAAACTGGACCAAAATTGCAAAAAATTTAAATTTTTATAAAAAAATAAGTTATTTAAGATACTTTCTTATTCAGAGAAACAATTTTGATGTAAAGATGTTACTGACATAAGACTAACAAATATTAGTTGATAATGTCTTAAAATTGTTTACTTAAATATCAGAAAATTACAAAGCTGCTTTACTTTCTATAATACAAAGACTTAGGTGACACTTAGTCGCTAAGCTACCACATCATCCCATTCTGACTACAACTACTTAATCACTACAATCAAATACAAAATGTATTAAAGTAATAATGGTTATGTGCATTCTGACTACATTTAATTAATCACTACAATCAAATACAAAATTTATTAAAGTAACAATGGTTTTGTGCAATAAACACAACTATAAATAATCACACCTGAGGAATAAGTGGAACTATAAATAGTCACACCTTTTCCCTACACAGAAACAAGTCTGCTAGCTTGACCAGCATTTTAGCCTCCTTCGACATTGGATAAGCCAAAATACTTTTCAAGGTGCCAAAGTGAAAATTCCTATCACTACCAAAACATTCTAATTGCTTCATTCAAGACACATTCCATCAAAATATGTTGGAAATTTTCAACTATTCCGCATATGTTACGATTTGATGTTGGCACTTTTTTCAGCAAAAAAGAAAACTCGTTCGATGGAATATGTAATCTAAGAATAGGTCTTATGTAGTTTCTTTTTAGCGGGCAATTATCTGTTCACAAATTACAGGTTATTTGTGGCTGAATTGTTCAATACCAGATACTCTTCAACAGACTGACAGTTATATGTAATAACTTGGCAAATGGCAAGCTTTGAATAATAATTTTGAGATTGCAATTTTAAGATTGATTCTATTATATCATAGGCAATCTGTTCACCTCTCACTTGAGAGGCACAGCCAAATCCTATAAAAAACAATACATAATGGAAATTTAAAAGTTAGTTAGATAACAAAAATTAGGAAAGAATTATTTCAGTGATATTGACAGATTATTCTGCAAGAGCCTTACAATTGTGACGGAGAGTTATGCAGAATTATACTAAAAATACAAGATCAAGCATCATCATCATTATCATCATTACAGCCCTTCACAAGTCCACTGCTGAACATAGGCCAAGATCAAGTAAATGTCCCTAATAGAAAAATAAGTAGATTACCATAGTTGTCCATTTCCAGAGCAGGTATTCCAGTATTTATTTTATCAGCCGTTGATAAGGCGGTAAGGCAAAATGGTGAAGAAGCAAACTACCGGTAACAAATCTCGCCCCGAAGTGCTTATGACACACAAAAAATTTATGTAGCTCTTCTGCATTGAGCTGCTTTAATTTTTCACAATTTATTTTTTCCACACACTTGAGTCTTAGCTCAGTCTTTATAAGCATAATCCTTAACATTATGACCCTTCCTTTCACAATGGGAAACACAACAAGAATTCTTCATGATGAGTACACAATTTTTAACGTGAGAGGATAAGCATGGAGTTTAAACACTTCAAAGTAATTTCATTCGATCAAATCCAAATTTCCAAAACTCCACCAAACTGTATTGAAATTGAAATAATGAATACAGAGCACAGAACACATATCACGATGTAGGAGTGGTCGTTACAAAACGTAACTATTTACTGAAACTATCTATTCACACAATAGCGGGTAGCGGGTTATTGCAGTGCAACGAAACTATCTATTACAGTAGATGTTTTACTCAGTAACACGATTCACGTTTCACGAATCACGAACGAGCGATCAGTAACAAAACGTTTATTCGGCTATTTTCGCGACGCATCGGCGACGGCTTCGGCTGTTGAAGTAGAAGCACATGAGTAAAGAAACCGACTCTTTACGCTGTGGTAGAAGTACCACCGGTCGTCGAATGTCGAGTGAGCGCCGGTGCTTTTGCATTTGACCTATGACTCTATTCCCTTCGTATAGATGCGATATTAGAAATGAGAAAGTAAGTGTGCATGTTTTTAACAAAAAATAGTTCAAATTCCATAATTTAAGTGCCCTTGGCCCGGTTTAAATTAGTCTTGTGTTTAAGTTTAATGACACGCTTTGTTTTTACTTTTTAGGCGCGTTTGTTAATATTTTTGTTTTCTTTTTTGTGCAATAATAATAATATTTTTAGTAAAATAAGAAATAATACAATTGCATATATTAGTGTTAATAATAATAATTGTACAGTAATTAGTGTAAGTTACTAAGTGTAAAAAGAATACTTAAACGTTATGTGATCGTTATCAAAAATATACAACTTTATGTGATAATTATTTGCTATAAAATCAAACTTATATTCAGTATTTTATGCTGAACTTGTGGGTGAATTTATCATAATCATAATTAATAAATAAATCGTTTGCCGTTAAATCGTTTCAAGTGATATTTTTATCAAACCGTGGGAAATGATTTAACAAATAAATAAATTTAACCATTAACACCATGTCTAATTCTATACGAAACGGTACCAAACAAGTTTTCTCGTGAAACGGACATCGTTTCATTCGCAACGTTTATCAATTAAACACGTCTTGAAACACTCTATTGAAGCCGCTATAAAAATAGAGTGTTTCAAAACCCTCTATTAAAATAGAGTGTTTCAAAAGCCGCTATTGATATTTGATAGATAGTTTCGTTTCGTTACTCAAAAAAAGTCGCTACAACCCACCGCTATCACGATGTACGATATATTACTCTCCTCTATGACACATATACCCCTAAAGGGGATACTTACTATATATACAGTAATCTATGGGAGATACAGAGCATATACAGAGTACCTTTGTATAAACTGAAAATAATGAAAGGAGTATCCTGTTCCTATATCCTCTTTTAGTCTCTGTTATGAAAGTTTGAAATTCAATCTGTGGTAATAAGAAATTAAGAAATGTCATATTCTAAACTATGGGTTTGAATCTATGGTTGAAAATAAGGGCTAATTTTACCGGGCACGTTCCAGCATGCAGATATTAAAATTTCAAAATTAAAAAAATCTCATTTTATAGATCTCAATTAGCCCTTTCGACCTACGTTAATTAAAAATAAAATATAAATAAAAAAAATAGAAATATAATTTTCAATTTTCCTCTACTTAAAATAGCCATATCTCTTTGAAAAATGATTATTTTTTACTCTACCAAGCGTGAAAAAATTGCCCTTGCGCTAATTTAATTTGCCCGCGTGTGAAAGAGTGTCAGTGTAGCATCAGCTGATCTGCAGTTGATGATGTGAGTTTCACCTTTATTCTGTCGCGCATGCGCAATGCGCAAATATGTAATTGGCTTGGAAATGTCACGACGGTTTTCTGTTTACAATAATAATTATTGAATATTTTTAAGAATTAGCACAAGGACAATTGTGTAATTGTAGAGGAAAATTGAAAATTATATTTCTATTTTTCCTGGGAAAACGAAAAACGGGCTTATAAATTAATTAACGTAGGTCGAAAGGGCTAATTGAGATCTATAAAATGAGATTTTTTTTAATCTTGAAATTTTAGTATCTGCAGGCTGGAACGTGCCACCTGCTAATTTTTTTGTTCTAAGATTCCATGTCGTGACTCTAGGACTACGTCACAATAACGCAAAATGCAAAATACCACTCATGGCATAGAATAAATAATAGCTCATGGTATCAACCTTTCCGTATATACATTCTAATCTATGTTAGGTAGTACTATTATTTATTCTGTGTCTATGTATCGACCTACGTTTATTTTGTTTCTTTTGTTGTCATTGCTCAATAGTGTCGGTTTGTATCTTTCATATTCCGGCATAGATCTCTTTTCTGCATAAACTTGTAAAAAGTGTTGCCATGAGCTCCATTTCACTGTACCATATGAAGCTGATTTCTATGTCATTTTTTTATTAAGCATATAAAATAATATATTTAAATACTTACTGTAATATGAAGACTGTTGTGCCATTACTATTCTTTTTTTGAAAAATGAAACAATTTTTTACAAGGAAATTTAAATAACTGTTTCCTTGCTGTTATTTGTCCGTGTTCTCTCCAAATTTCAATAACCGAGATCGTGTCACCTTTGTTAGAAAGAGTGTAAACTTTTCAACATAGGACTGATAAGTAAGCCTTTAAATTTTGATAATTGTTTAAATCTCCATTTCCGCTTAGAATTTCCTAAATCTTATTTTCCGTTTGAAGGGTAGAAGAATCAGTACAATTAAGAGGGTATTCCATATTAGCCTCAATATAATTAAAAAATAAAAAAACTAAAAGCGTACAATTTTTATTAACAAGTTGATTATAACATGATTACGACAATTATTTTTTAATAAAATAATAACAAAACAGTAACGAAAACATTTGCATTTTTTATAAAAATTTGTCAAATAACCAAAACAATGTATTAGGCAAGTGGGTAAGTATTTTTATTAAAAAGTTGTTTGTAGTAAGAAAGTTGATTGTTTTAAGGACTAACCACCAGGTGGACTATTAACTCGTTTGTCTCCAAAAATAATTCAAAAAGTCTTAAATTTATCATGATTTCTATACCAAAAATAAAAAAACAATGTCGTTTTTTAATAGCAGGAAATAGTTAATAATGTTTTAAGCAAAACAAAATAGTCCTCAAAAGTCAGCAAAATTTCTGCGTCTGGTATCACCGCTGACGTATTTCATTGCGTTGTTAAACGCTCGGCTCTCATTGGCTGTCGTCGTCGTTTCTGGAACGTTCCTGAAAGCGAACGTTTTGATTGGATGTTTCTTGAAGCTCCTCGACCTTTCTAGATTTCGATTGGTACAATATAAAAGCGCGACGGCGGCCGCGGGAAGTCAGTACAATTTGAAATACGATACAAGAAAGACGAAGAGGAAAGTTCGGTGTTTACCGAAGTTAATTTACAAGCGCTATATTGTTGACGTATTTATTAGTGAGAAGTTTAATTAAAAAGAGAACAAAATGCCAGCTATTGGAATTGATCTAGGAACGACGTACTCGTGTGTTGGAGTGTGGCAACATGGCAACGTGGAGATCATCGCGAACGACCAAGGCAACAGGACTACACCATCCTACGTAGCGTTCACCGACACTGAGCGACTCATCGGCGATGCGGCGAAGAACCAGGTGGCCCTCAACCCCAGCAACACAGTGTTCGACGCCAAAAGGTTAATCGGGCGCAAATTCGACGACCCAAAGATCCAACAAGACATGAAACATTGGCCATTCAAAGTGGTCAACGACTGCGGGAAGCCCAAAATTCAAGTGGAGTTCAAAGGTGAGACGAAGACGTTCGCGCCGGAGGAGATCAGCAGCATGGTGCTGACGAAGATGAAGGAGACTGCGGAGGCGTACCTCGGAACCACGGTGCGGGACGCCGTCATCACCGTGCCGGCGTACTTCAACGACTCGCAGCGTCAGGCCACGAAGGACGCGGGCGCCATCGCCGGGCTAAATGTGTTGCGCATCATCAACGAGCCCACGGCTGCTGCTCTGGCTTACGGCTTGGACAAGAACTTGAAAGGGGGAGCGCAACGTGTTGATCTTCGATCTCGGCGGTGGTACTTTCGACGTGTCGATCCTGACTATCGACGAAGGCTCTCTGTTCGAAGTGAAGGCGACGGCCGGCGACACGCACCTGGGAGGCGAGGACTTCGACAACAGACTCGTGAACCATCTCGCGGACGAGTTCAGGCGCAAGTACAAGAAGGACCTGCGTTCGAACCCGCGCGCCATGCGTCGCCTCCGCACCGCTGCCGAGCGCGCCAAGCGCACGCTGTCGTCTAGCACCGAGGCCACCATTGAGATCGACGCGCTCTATGAAGGCATCGACTTCTACACGCGCGTCTCCCGCGCTCGCTTCGAGGAGCTCAACGCAGACCTGTTCCGCGGCACCCTGGAGCCGGTCGAGAAGGCGCTTAAGGATGCGAAATTGGACAAGAGCCAGATCCACGATGTCGTGCTCGTAGGCGGTTCTACCCGTATTCCGAAAGTGCAAAGTTTGCTTCAAAACTTCTTCTGTGGAAAGCAATTGAACTTATCCATCAATCCAGACGAAGCAGTTGCGTATGGCGCTGCCGTTCAAGCTGCTATCCTCAGTGGAGAGACTGACTCCAAGATTCAAGACGTATTGCTGGTGGACGTGGCTCCATTATCTCTGGGTATCGAGACAGCTGGAGGCGTGATGACGAAAATCATCGAAAGAAACTGCAAGATTCCTTGCAAACAGTCAAAGACCTTCACCACGTACTCTGACAACCAGCCAGCAGTTACTATCCAAGTTTATGAAGGCGAGCGTGCGATGACCAAGGACAACAACCTGCTGGGCACGTTCGACTTGACCGGCATCCCGCCAGCGCCGCGCGGCGTCCCCAAGATCGACGTCACCTTCGACATGGACGCTAACGGTATCCTGAACGTGTCGGCCAAAGAAAACAGCACGGGTCGCAGCAAGATCATCGTGATCAAGAATGACAAGGGACGCTTGTCGCAGGCCGAAATCGACCGCATGTTGTCCGAAGCCGAGCGCTACAAAGAAGAGGACGAGAAGCAGCGGCAGAGGGTCGCCGCCCGCAACCAGTTGGAGACGTACGTGTTCAGCGTGAAGCAGGCGCTAGACGACGCGGGAGACAAGCTGAGCGAGGCTGACAAGAGCACGGCGCGCCGGGAGTGTGACGATGCACTCAAGTGGCTGGACAACAACACCCTCGCAGACCAGGAGGAGTACGAGCACAGGCTGAAGGAGTTGCAGCGAGTTTGCTCGCCCGTCATGAGCAAGATGCACGGTGTGAGTGGTGGTATGCCAGGAGGTATGCCTGGTGGCCAGCGCGATGGTCCCACTGTGGAGGAAGTGGATTAATCATTGTCTAGTCGGACATTCTAGTTAAATTAGTAAGATGTAAATATTTGCAAATAGACATTCTCCAGTGATATTAATTGCATAAGACTGATAATTTATTTTTATGTATTGAACAGAAGATGATCATCGCCTGTTAAAATAAATAGGTTAAGTAATTTATTACTGTCTTTCATTGCTCCTCCTTTATACGTATACTACCCTAATTAGTAATGACACACTTTCACAGTTACTTTTAAAACATTCTCCAGTAACAGTCGCAAGGCATTTAATGAGTGGGCGACTGTAGGAATTCATAAGAGCAGACGAAGAATATATTAACTTTACCATTGAAAGATTATATAATCTTTCCGATATCTTCAGAGAATATGTCAAAAATTATTCTAAAATATTTAAGAGTGTATTTTTCACAGCCAAATCTTTAAATATTAGCAACAACTATTTTAACAAAAATTTGTAAGACATTTCTAAAAATTAAACCTGAAAATTCCTAAAACGCTGTTTGCTTTTTGTATATAATAAGGATGACAAACGAGCACACAGTCCACCTGACAGTAAACCAACAGCAGACGCGTTGTCTTACCCCAGAGGACTAAGATGGAATGCCTCGTTTCCTATAAAAACGCTCCTCTATACTCACCATACGAACACAGTAGCATTAAGCTGCTATTTTACGTTATTATTTTGTGCGTGGTCCTTCCCCGGTCGAGCCAACTCATTCACGCTACAACCATAATGAGCGTGGCTCTACCACGTAAATGTTAATAATGAGTTTATTATTTATTAAGGTATCAACTCACTTATGTCTAGTACATTTTGCATCTAAGACAATGAATTAGAAGTATTATACACATACAAAATTTCAAATTGAACTCTATTATGAGATAAAATATAGTACTTAAAATAATTATTCGTAACCTATAGCACAGTTTATGAATTCATATATATACTGTGCCTATAGCGTCCGCTGCATCCCCTGCCAGTTTCTTTAAAATATATTGTCAGGAGACACCTGAGCAACGACCTTAACTAATTCGTTTGTTTAGTTACGTACAGTTTCCCAGAAACTGGCCGTTCTACAACGTAAAAAAAATCTTTTTCGTTAACATCTTCATAATAGATTTTTAGCAAATTCTTTGCAACTTTGTCACAACTCTTCGGAGTTTAGAGTTTTCACGCAAAAAAAAAACAACCAAAACGTTGACTAAATGTTTTTATACGTACTTAATCGCTGTTTTAAATGAACGCTCAGGATATCAATAATGGGAAGAAAGGTTTCTACTTTGAATTTCTATGCATAGAACCATCAAAAAAAAACTGGCATGAACGTCTTGTTTTTAGAGATAGGTTTTTAGTCAGATTCCGGGTTTCTATTTTTGGCGCACGATTCGAAGTAATCAAATTTATGCCTGAGGTTAATAATAAAATCATCAATTGAAAAGTAAATAAATTGGTTTCAACGTCCAGTGTTATTGTTTCTTTTTAAATATAATTACTATTTTGTCTATTCTTTCCAATATTTTCTATGGTATCCCATTTTTCTTGACAAACTAAGAGCTGGGTCTCTAGTTTCTTGTGCCTGTCCTGTATCCTTTGCGATAGAAATTAAAGCTTGTACAATTTGTTTATGACTTTCATGCAATTATGCAATGCGCTTACTGCATCAGCTCGGGCTGACCATCTGGTTTATGAAAGACCTAAAAACTTTTTTCAACCTAAATGTTCTGTCAATGTATTATGTTATTCCATCGGTGGGCAGAGTCTGAAAAACAACTTGTTACCTATGATACTCACCCAGCAGCATCAACACCTTCCAGGTTGAGTGAATGTTCCGCACATGATACAAAGGCGGCAAATTCACAGCCTACATACGTCCCACTGTTGGCCAGAGGCCTCCCTAATTTCTGAGAGAGTTTTTTAGGGCAAGTAAGTGTCCGCCGCGCTGCCCCAATGCTTGTTGGCGAACTTCACATGTCTTCGAAATATTATTTTTTTCTTATTCCTCAGACATGCAGGTTTCCCACGATGTTTTCCTTCACCGCCGAGCACGTGGTAAATCAGCACTTAAAATTGCAATTAACAATTTCATTGGTGCCGGCGGGGATCGAACCCGAGTTACTCGCGTTCTGTTATATTTACAGCGAGTGTTAACCATCTGAGCTACCACGGCTCTTTCGGCACGGCAAATTCACATTTCTACTTAATTTTTGCTTGTAGGCTAGTATACTTCAACGACGTATTTGAAGCATTGTCGTAACTTTGTCCTCCCTCTGCAATGTTTTATGGAAATATCATGATTCTCTAAAAAAAATCAAGATGATTTCCACTAAATACTCAGATTTATGCTTTTTAGTACATAAGTTTCAGAAGCCTTTCAATAAAAACGGTCTTTTACTAATCGAATTATAAAAGTTAGGTAGGTATTGTGACTACAATACCTACCTAACTTTTATAATTATGACTGATGACTTAGAATAATGACTGACTAGTCATTGTCGTATGATTTTTTTCGAAATTAATATGTTTTTCTGTAGTAAATATCGGCTACGATACCCGGAGAAATTGGAGATATGGTAAACTGAATGATGAAAAAAACCTTATCGATCGCGGGGCCCTTTGCATGTGTCCAGAGTGCCCAGTGGGAAAGAGGGGCCTGGTTAGGACCACGCTCTCACATAATACCTGCGTAAAATAGCATCTGAAGGGTGCTGTGTTTCGTACGTTGAATGTAGAGGACCAGATACCCTTTTTACTCGAAACGAGGCATTCCATCTTAGTTCTCATGGTGCATTTTGATTCGAGGATAAATGTTGATGTGTCCTGTGGTCCACAGCATCCAATAACCATTAGATGGATTGTGTGCTCGTTTGTCAACTATATTCTAAAAAAAGCCTCGTATGGTGGATGCGTAGTCACCCGTAAGGATTAAGGTGGAATGCGTCTTTATCATTAGCAAGAGTCTCGGGTTCTCTACACTTAGCATACGCAACACAGTATAGTTCTGCCGTTCCACGCTGCGTTGGTGTTGTGTGAGAATGTGGATATAGCTCGGTCGAGCTGACTCATTAGTGCTGGTGCTGCATCTAGCGTGACTCCACCACGTAACAGTACTCAAAATGCTTTTTTTATGTGTAAATGTAATGAGCATTTTCAAGAGCTCTACGTTGCCTGTATCATGATTAATGAAATTATCAGCAGCCATGAAATGTACAAAGTTAGAAAGAGAGCCGTGGTAGCTCAGATGGTTAACGCACGCTGTAAATATGACAAAACGCGAGTAACCTGGGTTCGATCCCCGCCGGCACCAATGAAATTGTTAATTGTAATTTTAAGTGCTGATTTACCACGTGCTCGGCGGTGAAGGAAAACATCGTGAGGAAACCTGCATGTCTGAGGAATAAAAAAAATATTTCGAAGACATGTAAAGTTCGCCAACACGCATTGGGGCAGCGCGGCGGACACTTCCTTGCCCTAAAACCCTCTCAGAAATGAGGGGAGGCCTGTGCCCAGCAGTGGGACGTATACAGTCGGTAACTTTACTTTACTACAAAGAGAAAACAAAAATCTTTGTTGAATTACTGTGTTATGTTAAAATGTTATAAGCTGGAATTGGGAAGAACTACTTTCGTATATGTGTAACTAGACTTTGTTTAGCTTTTTTTTCTATTCAATTTTAAAAAATACTGTCGACGGTATATATTTATATTACAACAATTTCAGTAGAAAATATGTTTTTCTATTCAACTGTCGCATAAAATTGCTCTTGTACGTGGCCCACACAACTGTAATGCTTATGGTATGGAGAGGATGGGCTGGCTACCCGCTATGGTTAAAATTACTGGTTGGGCCGCGTAACAACGTAAAGCCCGGTTTACATTTTAAGAAGTGACAAGTGCGAGTGACATTGACAAGTGACAAATGACAAGTGCTTAGTGCGTGTGAACAGGCAGTGACAAGTGCGAGTGACAAGTGATAAGTGCGAAATGAAAAGTAACAAGTGAATAGCGACCTGCTCTATTCTCTGACAAGTATCTCTGCCCCGCGCTAACCTTGCTTTCCCCTCAGTCACCCACCGCCGCCCCAGTTCTAGCGGCGACGTCAGAACATACACGTGTTGGTTATAATAGTTATTAAATAAAATATTTTAGTTATATATATTGTATACATACTCGTATTTATAATAATTTTGTTTTATTACGAAGTTTCATACGTGGTAGAGCCATGCTGCAGTTATATTAGTAGTATAGCTGTAGCACGAATGGGTCGGCTCGACCGGGGAAGGACCACGCTCTCACAGAATACCAGCGTAAAATAGTAGCTTAATGCTGCTGTGTTTCGTATGGTGAGTGTATAGAACCGGAGACCCTTTTTACTGGAAACGAGGCATTCCATCTTAGTCCTCACGGGTGACAACGCATCTGCATTTTGATTTGTAATCGAGGATAGATGTAGATGTCTATGGGCCACAGCAACCACTTACCATCAGGTGGACTGTGTGCTCGTTTGTCACCCTATCCTATAAAAAAAAAGAAGTGGTCAGATAGAAATAACATTAAATTTGTCAAGGAATTATTGAAATACGAATGTTTATACAATATTAAATCGCTGAATTTAAAAAAATAAAATGATGCGAGACGCTGCTATGCCCTCAATATTTCAAGCAATGGGAATGGCCGGTTTCGTCGCAAAAGAAGTAGGTGTATGCGAAGTTAAGAAGCATTAAGTTTACATATTACCAAGAAAAGAAGAAAATTAAAGACTCCTGTAGATCAGGGCTGGAGCCATATTATTTTCAGGCTTAAATTTTTTCCTTGTTATAGCTTTAAGACACATTTTTCTCACTTAAGCTATTTTAGGAAATTGGTGTGCACCAATATCTTTGCAATAAGGCACTTCACACATCTTTTTAATCAAAAAAAGGTAAAATTGTATGATGAGATACCAGTTTTAAACTTTAAAGCTGTGCTAGCGCCTCTTTGACAATTACCAACCCAATTTCACAC